TCTGCTGATGTCCACACACACAGCCACACCTGTACTAGTGGGTGGTTGGGAATGCCTGGCTGTGCAGTCCGAAGGGACGTGGCTTCTGCTGGACTGTCAGAATTTTCTGTCTGATGACTTTGACTCATTTGTCTGATGACTCCAGGTAAAAAATAGAGACTACCTGGTAAATAGTTCTTTACGGTTCTCCATTATGCCATGACCCATGGACTGTATTCTTCCAGGAAACATTTACTGAGCACCTGTGGTGCTCTACCTCTACTAGACACTGGCAGATGACAGCCAATAAGACATGGACTCTGGCCTCAAGTCGCTCAAAGTCCCGTAGAAAATGAGGACTCCCTGGAGAGCATTGACAGTACTTCTAACTCTGGAAATCTTGATGGTGGAAGTGAGTCTTTCATGGACGTAGCTATCCCTTGTTTGTGGCTCAGTTGTGAGGCATCCTGTAAGATGTATACTCTTCTGTCTGTGAGTGTGCAGGAGGAGATCCAGTGCCACAGACACCTCCAGGACTCTGCTGTCTGCAAGGCACTGTGCAAGGCACATAGGAGTACGACAGGAAGGTGTAGAACAACTTTCTTTTTAGTATGTCAAAGCAGTGTTACTTCTTAGCTTTCAAACTTTTGTAATGGCAGTTATTTGTAATAATATTCTTAAGTGTGTGGGGGAGGGTCCTGAAATAGCAGACGAAGATACCTTCATACCTAAATCCAGACTTGGCAGCCTAAGATTCAAGGTCTCCATTCAGACCCTCCTTTTAAGGACCTTCTTTTTCCTTTTCCTTAGCTGAGCCACCCTGCTTGCTGATCCCTGCACATCACTAACTTTGCTCTGTGCCTCTGCTTGACTAATTCTTCTGCTTCTGGGATGCTTTATTCCCATGAATCCATGTCCATCACTGCATTACAGTCTGGCCCGAGTCCACCTCCTGCAAGTAGCCTGTAGTCAGTGTCCCGTCTCCCTGTGTCCCTCACACGTGTGCACGGCCCATGTGACCGGTAGAGGAGCATTGTGGTGTTCAGTGAAGCTTCCGTTCTCTGTCCACATCTTGCTGAGCTAGATTCAGTGGACTGTAAACGAAGTAGTCAGTATAACTAGCCAATTACCAGACCTTGTGGGAGCGAGTCTGTGTCAGAGTTTGCATTTTGGTATCTGTGGGCTGCTAGTTTTAGGAGAGAGAGGAAGACCAGGGAAGATCAGAATGGTACTATGAAAAAATACACCAGGGGTCCATGGGAAAAGTGACGTAACTGTAAATGATCCTCTCCTGCTTCCAAACAGAACATGAAATCTCCTTTAAACAAGTTCAGATACAGAAAGAGTGGGTGGATAAGCTATCGAGTTTAGGAGAAGCAAGGCCTTGCCTGTTAATCATCTCAAGCTTGTTGATCTGCTGTTCTGTGATTCTTTCAATATTGTTTAATGTGTGTGTGTTTTATCTTCTGAACTGATTAAAAACTTCTTGAGGACAGGGACCATGTCTTTATTTGCCTCTGCATATTCTTCCCCCCACTTACTCCTAACTAGCATGGGAGACCCTTGTAAGCACTTAGGGACAGGAATGCCACTCGTGGTTGCCAGCTGCATCCCAGCGATCACACTGCACACTCTATGTAATGCCCTTTGTCCCTGTGATGACTTAGGAAGGTGTGGGTATCCAGATCAACTCTCCACAGAATGAAATCAAAGGGAGTTCAGAGTCTTACGGTTAGTGAGCAATGGATGCCGAATCGGAACCCAGGTCTATCTGAGTCCAGAAACTAAATATGCTTTTCATTATACCACAATAATAATGAGTATTTGAACCCTTGATGGTTCACAGAACTCCTAGACCTGCGTGATTACTGCTGTTGCTGCTACCACTACTATTACTACACTCGGTACCTCATCACTAGGGAGTAGGTGTGGAGAGCTGGTACTGTCAGGACCCCCGTTGCACTGCAGGGGAAATGCAGGCTAAGAGACCTGCCCAGAGCACACAGCTGGTAAGTGGAGTCAGGTCAGGCAGACATCCTGACTTCAGGTCGCCCTGTTCTTCCCTCGACATCACATTGCTGCCTTAGTCCCTGGGCACGAATGTGTGACCACGTGGCCAGTTTTCACTCCCACCTCTCCTACAGATACCAGCATGCCCCAGCATGGCATGGAGCCATGTAGAGAAGGAAATACTCACGCCTTCTGAAGAGTTTCCATTTTAATGGTGGGGTAATGCAAAGCACCAAAAAAATAAATGCTTGAGTCTTAGCCTTCCCAAGTAAGAATTAAAGTAATACAGGGGCCATCGTTCTGTAAAAGAACTCTCACAATTCGGCCGTAACACTGTGTAGCATTCTTAATGATCTCCATCGTACATTGGATTAGGGAGCAGGGAGCGGAGATAGCCGATAGCTAGACTTGATTGGAAATACACCTCCTGGGCTTAGATGAGCGAGACGAGGGACTCCATCCGAGCTGGTAGCTAGCCCTCGTATCATCCTGTTACCAAAGAGGCGCAGTCGTGGTCATCGCGGAGTGACGGTACGTGCACCCAGCAAGCAGTTCACCGCCTTCCTTGGCGGAACCCGCTAGTGTCCTGCCAGTGCTGCTTCTCCCTCTCCCTGCCCACACCCTGCCCTCAGTGCACTAAACCCCCCAGGGCTTTGAACTGCCCTCCCTCCCTCCGTGTTTCTTTCCCCGCAGGCTGCCCCTCCTCCTTCTGCATTGGTGCTAGGATAGCGTGTCCGGTGTCACAGTCCTTCCGCAGTCAGGGAGGACAAGAACATGTTTATGTGAATCATAGCTTTGTAGTGTGTGTCAGTCGTGAAGGGAAGTTTCAGGGAGAACATTGCTCCTAACGCTGCTGAACATTTCTACCTGATTGCCATAAAGGCAACTCACGCTCTCGTGTCGCGTGAGGTAACAGCATGCCCCAGCAAATCTGCTCCATCTCTGTATTCTGACTCCAGTAGTGATGCCACACCCACTTAAGCTGGAGCCACAAGGGACTCGGGTTTAACTTCCTCGCCCCTTTCCCCTCCAGTGGGCAGTCAGCTCTACCTGCGAAATGTTGCCTTTCTTCACCTAAGCTCAGCCCTCATCCAGCCCTCTGCCGCCTCCTACACGGTGTAACGAGAGCCTCTTAATGACTTATCTCTGTCACTTGTTCCAGTGTGTCTCCCACGCTGCTGCCAAAGGAAACAAACGTGATCAGACACTCTGTACAGGAGGAAACCTAAGCTCCTCCCTTTGGCTTTTAAGATCCTAAATGACCCTCCTACATTCCTTCCCTGAACCTGTCCACTCCCCAGCCACTGGCCCTTTCCCCCTTCCGGAGACGACTGACACAACCCGAAAGATCTGCAAGCCTCACAAGAGGATGGGCCGTGCAGAGGTCTTGGTACAGCCGCCTTCACTCAGGACGTGCTGTCCTGTGCCTGGTGCAGGACACCTCCCCTAGCAGTTTGGTCGATGCTTTGTCACAGGACCTGCCACAGTTCTGTTAGAATTCTCTTCACCATTTACCTCATTATGTTCTAAGCCATACTCCATATATTTGCTTTTCCCCTCATCAGGGGCAGCAGCCGTACCTAGTGGTCCTTTCTTCCCAGTCTCTGATGTGGTCCCGGTCAGGCAGTTACTGAGCAGGTGTTCAAGGTGTGTCCTGCAGTGCAGTCAGGACAGTGAACTGAGATGTGGTGTGTGCCACTAGAGAAGTGACCTTGGGTAAGTCACTCAGTCTCCTTCATTCAAAAGGGGGTTGGACTAAATGATCTCGAGGCCCCTTCCAGCTGGAAGCGCTGTGATTCGGACCCCATATCATGGGTCAGGAAACCCTCCCTGCTTCCTGACCCTTGGAAGCCCCAGCGTAGCTAGCTACCATGGATATTTCCCAACTCTTGGCAGCAGTCTTCGGGCACCCCCCCCCCAGAGCTGCCCGACAAGGAGGCTCCTATGGGCATCACCCATGATCATCAAGCTGTCCTCACCCGTCCCAGGTGTCACCGTGCCTGTCACACTGTCACCAGTTGTGTGGCCGCCCCGTTTTGTGCTGGCCTAGGGGATAAGAGCAGGGAAGACGGACAGAGGAAGGGTTGCCGTTGCCCTTGACTCCACGTCCCACCAGTATCATAGCTGCTGCCATCCTGTCTTCAAGGGCTGATGCCCATTTCTGTGAGAAACTTTTCCAGCAGTTCATGGCCTGTTTTAGGCCCCTCTTAAGTACGTGACAGTCCTGTGCATGGTGGGAAGAGGACCAGAGGTAGCAACTCAACAGGTACATTGGCTGTAATCTCCATGTAATAAATAAGTCTGTGGAAAGATTAAATAAACCTTTCCTGATGCTTTTAGATGGACTTCATAAAGTGTCACCTGTAGGTGGAGCTGGAACTTGTGGAGTAGCTACAAGTGCAGTAGTGGCAAAGAGGCAGGTGGGGAGCTTCGCAGAGACTAAAATGCCTGTCAGTCCCCTGGGTGAACAGCCACAGACGAAAGCGGTGGTGCTGTGCACCGGAAGGAGGAGGAAGGAAAGAGAGAGAGGAGGTGGAAGGGAAGTTGGCGGAGGCCCGCAGAGGAAAGGCATCAACAGACACGCGGATCTCACGGAGACTGGTGGCAGAGCAGACTGACACGGGCCCGTGTGCACGGCAGCTGTCAGCCGCATGCCAGGCAGGTGAAATTGTGGCAGCCCCAGCTTCACCAGAACAAAGTGATTCCCTAAAAGACAAAAAAATTACGTACTCAAGACAGAAGAGAGCTGCTCCTTGTCCCAAGCCCATTTAGACCTTGGCTTTCCGTACTTTCAATTGGCTTAGTAGGTTTGGCCTGTGTGAGTGAAGTCTTTCCTCTCCTTTTTCTTTCACGCCCCTTTTCATCTTTCCTGTTACAAATATACAGAGAGAGCTTGAGAGAAAGTACTTCGGCTTTTAAAGACTTTTAAAAAGGATGTGGTTCGGGGGGGGAGGGGTGTGTGTGTGATGCTGGTGAATACCTTTTTTTCTCTCTCTTTTATCTTTTTCCAGAGAAGAGCTGCTTAAACCAATGGGACTGAAACCTGATGGGACAATAACGCCTTTAGAGGAAGCACTCCACCAGTACTCTGTCATCGAGGAGACCAGCTCCGACACAGACTGACCACGTCCTGTGCCCAGCTCTCAGTATCGCTTTATCAGCAGCTTTTCTCTGTAGCTCCAGGGGAGTCTTTTCTCTAAAACATTTATGCCCTTGCTTTGGCTAGAAACACATTAACTGGTTTACTCGTTGAGAGTCCAGCATATTTAAGAGGTGATCCTGTGTTTTTTGCAATTTTGAGGCATTTGTGCTGAGCTGCAGTTAGACGATTACGGGCTGGAGGCAGAACGCGTAATTCTGTTGCGTCAGGGTGCAGTGGAGGACTTCAGCCTGTGCAGCGTCCCTGGCTGAGTCTGCAGCTGTCTTCGCCAGGGTTCTGAGCAGCGGAGCTGGCCGTGCCCGCCCCTGGCTTGCTCGTGTGAGCGGCCCTCCTGAATGTCTCCAGCTGCCGAGGTGCGGTGAGCAGGGTGAGCTGGTCAGTGAGGGCTGAGCAAGGGCTCCTGGGTCGGGACTGACTGAACGGAAGCCAAGCAGCTGCTCTGTAACCCTAGCCCCATTCATTTCAATTTTGTACATTTAGAAGCACACACACATGCGCACAGAGCCCCGGACTTAACAGCCCGATCTCACCCTAAATGCTTTGTATGTCACCGAGCTGGAACTTCAGAATACATCCTCCCCATGAAGAGTCACGGATGATGGTTCTGTTCCCAGGCAGCTTCAAATGCCTATTTATTCCCTGATGTACCTGAACACTAGGACCACAGACCCGAACCACCATCCGGACCATGGCGTGGGAGCATGCATTCTGAGGCAGAACCTAGGGTGTCAGGAACCACACGCCCTCCGTCCCACAGAGGGAATGGGGACCCCTGAGTAATGGGGCGGGGCAGCGCCCTTTTGTACATACAGGTCATTCATCTGTCATGTGTTTTAAACCGGGGTCAGCATGTGTGTGTGTGTTCTACCTTTCTACCAGATGTGATCAGTTTAATGGTAACTTTATTTATTTAAAAAAAGAAACACAGATAGTTACTATTAAACTGACTAAGGCTGTTTATTTTTACTGTTAGAACTGGTCATATGAAGAAGTAGAAATGCACTTGTACAATAGACAGTGGACCTAGTGAGTCAACGGCTGAAATTGAGAAGGGTTGGTTTCCTTTTATATGTATGTATGTGTGCATGTATGTGTGCGTGGGGACACATACGTGCATAAGTGTACACACACATAGATAATGTGCTTAACCACTGCCTTTTAAAACTTTAAATTAAATAAAACATTGGGGTTGATCGATTTAGACATCTGTGTGTTTCTTTATAGGGCTAAGGAATAACCAGCCCACAGTCACGCTTTTCCAAAGTCCTTTTCCACCCGTCAGCTCGCTTGTCCTCGTGATAGTCCTTTTCAGGGTAGGTAAAGTACGTGGGGGCGGTGCGAATCATTTACCCAAGTCTCTGCTCTGACAGACCAGACATCAGCAAGCGGCTCTTCTACTGCCGTTGAGCTGCCGAAGAGAGGCCAGAGGTTTCTTGCAGTTTACTCAAGAAATACCACTCTAAGCCTCCTCACTAAAAATTGCATACATTTTTAATATAATGAAGTATCTGGTGTTCAAGCCAAAAAAAGGCAAAGTGAAAACTAGATATCAAGATAAGAATTTAAAAACTATTCAAGGCATAGCAAATCAGGGACTCTACTTACAAAGGAATACTGCAGTTGGCCCAGAAAAGTCAGTGTTTATTTGGCCCATAAACTAAGTCTCATAATGGTGACCCCAAGGTTCTTACTTAAAGGAATAAATTAAATGCTTACTTAAAAGAATAAACATACTTGGTAAAAGACTGGAAATGCTGAATGCATGTCAGGAATTTCATGCACTACAGTTGAGGGAGAGGTGGTGGATGACCCATGTTTCAGCCCACAGCAGATAGAATAGAACTTGGCGGTTAATCATTTTAGATAAATGAGAAAGATTTAGAGAAAAAGACTGTTGGTACTTTTATCTCATCCTCCAACTGCGTTTTTAAAGTATTTTTACAATTTCTGCAGTCACATAGCGTTAGTGGGCGTGTGAGCCTACATGAACACGATGCCTCCAGGGAAGGTCCTCCTCTGGGCTCTGCCTGAGCGGCCCTGTGCCCGCTCGCAAGGCGTTCTGTTTCTGTTTCATTTGCCTTCCGTGAAGAGGAAAGACTGGCAGGGGGAGAACGTGGGTGTGGCCTCGCCTGGCACAGGGAAGAGAATTCATGCCCTGACGTGTGTGCCCCTCTGTGGCCTGTGCTGCGGCCTCACCGTGTCCCGAGGAAGGGAGCCTCTTGGTGGCCCGATTCCCCACCCCACACCCTCCCTCGCTGCTGCCACACACCTGGAGGGCCACGCTTGCCTCCCTGGGCCTAGAACTGCAGGAGATGGGGGGATGCAGAGGGGGTCGTTCTCGGGCCCTCTTAAGCAATAAGCACTTCAGCAGGATGAGGCTAAAGAGGCAGCCTGGAGTAGGAGTGAGTGAGGACCACTGGTTAGCACTGGGCTTCAGGTGATGACCTGGACTGCTCTGGGCTAGGTCAGGCCAGGGGCAGGCTCCCTCTCCGCAGTGGGCGGTCAGGGTCCTGGCCAGCACACTTGGCAGGCCTCTCTGCCGTGGCCCTCCTGACCTTTGAGGTGAAGGCTGGGAGAACGTGTCCTTGAAACAAGGCGTTGGGGTAGCAGGAGATGAGGAACAGTCCTCAGGTGGTGGGGGGGCAGTAACCTCCCCTCCTTTACAAAGCAGGAGACGGCTGAGGCCGTAAGAGTGACTTCAAACCCCCAGGACGGCAGCAGTCTTGCCTGCCTCCCCAGACTAGGTGTCCCTGCATGAAAGTCACATGTTCACTGTGCAAAATGTGGGGAATGCAGAGAGCAAAATAATTTCCCCAGATCCCACCAGTCTGAGACAATCACTGCTCATGTTTTAGTGTATATCCTTGCAGTTTTCTATGCATATATAATTTATTTTACTACAACACTGGGATCATGCTGTATTTACACATTTGTATCCTGCTTTCTTTAACAATTGTGAGCATTTTCCCATATCAGTAAATACTCTTAAAATGTTAATGGCTATATGATATCCCATTATGTGAATTGTAGCAAGCGCTAATTGCCTAGTCATTATTCTTCCTAACAGAGAAAACATCCTGAGTTTTCCGCCCCTCCCCTCCAAAAACCTGCTGCCTGCTTTCTGAAGCCAGCACTGCAGAGCCACAGGACCCAGGAGTGGCCTGCCACCCAGCCTGTGTTGTGGCATGTCACGACGCAGGGTGAGGTGCTAGATGACTAGCATGTGGGAAGAGCCAGTTCAAGGGACCAGGCAGCCAGACAACTTGCCCACATGCTTAAAAACGTTTTCAAGGTGCCAGCCAGGCTTGATGTGGTCCAGTTACCACCGTGGATTTTCTTGGAGATAATATTCACCGCTCTCCCAGAGGTAGAGGAGGTGTTCAAGGATAGGGAGCTTCTTAGAAGAAGAAAATCAGCCCCTGTTGGAGCTGTTGGTATGTGATGAGCAAGTGGGAGAGGGGACAAAGTACTGGTGTTCTGGGAACAGAGCAGGAGCCGGGGAGGAAAGACACACCAGCAGAAAGCAGAGCCCCAGAGAGAACACGCCTGCGCCGCACCTGCCCGGCCTTCAGCGGTGGCGGAGCAGACTCTTACAGGGCAGTGATGGTGAAACGCCCTGACCCTGCAGCAGAGCGACCACTCCTGGGTGTCCAGTGCATACCACGAAGCATCTGCACACACTGAGGAAACAGGAGCTCTGGTTGTTTCTGAATTCTGGGGTTCCAGTGAGAGAAAACCTGCCCCGTTAAAGATGGAAATTACTTTGCAAGGCTCCTGGAGTCAGATTTGTATTGTAATGCAACACAGTGAAGATCTCAAGCCAATGGTGGTGAACCTATGGCACACATGCCGCAGCAGGTTGTTGATAGCATTGAAAGCTGTAAAAGGTTCGTCATCACTGCCCTAAGCCATAGATAGCCTCCAACTGTATACCAGTGTCATAGACCTTTACCTTTTACGCGCTGAGCCTAAGAGCGGCCCCTGGACATCTACCCAGCAATGGCAGTGCACTTTACATGCACGCCCTCGGTCAGTCTCTGTCACAGCCTGACAAAGTCAGCCCTGGTCTAAAAGCTTCCACTTGCAGCTGGGAAAACTAAAACATGGCCTCTTTATTTGCTTATAATCTGCTGCAAGTAGCAAAGTTTGAATTCAAGTCTGATGCCAGCATCTGTGCTGTCTCCATACCCCTTATGTAATCAGAGGAAAAGTCTGTTAAAAGAGACTGACACAGGAAAAAGAACTGAGACTTTCTAACACATTTGTTCATTTCCATGTCTCTGCTGTGCGTAGATTTCCAGAGCTCATCCCAAAGGGAAGACTGTACCCACCAGTACACCAGGCCGGTTTGTCTAGGAAGATTATTAGGCATCAGCTATGTCCAGGTGCAGTTCCACGCGCTGAACACAAACTGCTGTGACAGTCCCGACCCCCAGCAGGCCTGCAGTGTGAGAAGTGTGTGACCAGCTAAGTTAAGTTGCAGGACACCAGGAGGACTGTGAGGGTGAAAACGCGAAATTTTCTAGCTGGCATTTGAGCAAGAGCTTGCCGTGTACAAGACAAGCCGCTCTTGCCGGAGCTGGCTCAGACCCCCGCTCATGGGCAAAAGGTAGCTGCTGTGTTCGCAGACACGCAGGTTGAGGAGTAGGAAAACTCGCAATGTCTTGTGACTGGCAGCACGTCCAGCAAGGAAGGGACACAGAAATATCACTGACTGCGGAACAAAGTGGAGAACCACAGTGAGCACAGGAGGCAGGAGAAGGAGCCCCGAGGGGAAGCTGCTGCCTCGCTGTCTGTGAGGGACCCCAGCACTGGCCCTGAGCGCGGGCCAGGGGACGGACCCGGGAGCAGGAATTTTAGGAAGGGTCATAGGGGAGCCTTTCTGATACACTGCAGTTTGAGCAGTGCGTGAAAGACGCAAAGAAAGCCAAGTGGACATCTGGGGGTCTGCTTTCCACAGGTCCTGCAGCAGTCACAGCCCTGCAGTGACAAAACTGCCTCTGCAGGGGAGGAGGCAGGCCATGCGGCCAGGGGACAAGGAGGCCAGGCTGGGGGGCCTTGGAGGAGACACAGCGTTGCCCACCCAGAGCCTCTGGTTAGCTTCCCCACGTCTCTCGACAAAGGACAACCAAGCAAGGGTCACTGGGTACCCGAGGACATGCTCTCCTGTGGAAAACAGACCCGAACGGGCCGCAGAAAACTTCCGTGGGCTGTGATTCCTCACAGTGACAGGCTTCAGCTCCTTTACCAGTCAGTAAGAACCCAAAGTAAGCCAATCCAGACCCAAACAACACAACCTGGAAGCGGTAAGCTGGGGGTGGGAGACCACGTGGAAGTTACTTGCGCTCCTCAGAAGTGATGCCGTAGCGGGGCCCGACCAAGGGCATAAATACCATAGGGAAAGTGTGAAGCTGGACCAGGCGTGGCCACGAGGCAGCTCCAGGAGCGTCAGAGAAGCAAGGCCTGCAGTTCCGGTTGCTTGCACTTCCTAAGCTTGTTTCCACTTGGTTTCCCCTTATGTTTTATTCGTAAAGAATATTTTTTTCAGTTCTTGCCCATCTTGACTGCTGTTAGGAGAACAAGGGAGGGCAGCTTTTCCTGACTGGCATAAAAGTTCCTGGAGTTCTTTCTGCACTTGCACGGAAGTGCATGCAGCTGGGGTGAGTGGCAGCCCTGGAGCGGTGCGCTGGCCTAGCATGTGGGAGGCCCTGGACTCAGCACCCGCACCAGGCATGCGCAGATGTTACCGTCATTATCATCATCAACAGGAGCAGCAGCGCAACAGCAGTAGGAGCTAAACTGCAAGAACAGGGCAACGGCAGCGCTTGGAGAGCACCCTCAGGGCGCTCTCTTTCTGGAGAATCTTCTTCCAGGACTGTCTTCTAGCGATCCTCATCTATACTTCATTGTAAAATCCTGGCCTCCCTTTTAGTGATCCTGACATCAGCAACCAGCGACACTGTCACTTTTGTCGGCGCAAAACCCAAGATAAGGAGACTCTCAGGAAAGAAGACATATGCAAATATTACATCCCTTAATCCCTCTGAATTCTCCCACCAATGGTTAAGGGCCTTTGAACTGACGGGAGGATTGAAGCTCAGTGTGGGGAAGTAATTGGTCCAAAGGTACCAACCTAGAATCGGCAGAGATTTCATGCCATCCACATGACCCCCGGGTGTGTTTTAAATTACCGTATCACGCTG